GGAGCTTCAAAAAAAAATGTGAGGGTGTGAAGACCTATTGGTTGGCCTGCGGAGAGACAGCAAGTGGAATATGCCTGACATTCAGAGGGATTGAAGATAAAGTAATCTAACTTCTTCATATAAAGAAACCTAACTGTACTTACACTTGCAAAGAATATTAAGTGCAATTCACAACTCCAAAACTTCATCCACGTGATGAAAAACAAAAATTAGTGCAGATCAGGAGGCCCAGAATATTTCTGAAATTGCTCAACTTGAACTTGTAGTACAAGAAAAAGTTCCAGGTTGAGTCTAAAGCCAGTGTTTTAGAGTATCACACGTGTGTTTCTCTTCCCCTCCCATACAGTTTAATTAGCTATCACCCTGAACATTTAAGAACAAATGAATGTGAACTCACAAACTCAAATACCACAGCTCTGCAGCACCATTAAAACTAATCCCACTCTGGTTAATGCATGACACGCTAAAACAAAGATACCTGCTTTAATTTCAGCAAGCAGTGAATTCTAGGAAGTAAGTAGAAATGGACTAGTAAAATATTGTTAATATATTTTTATATGGTAATAATTTAAAGTTTCATTTCAAATACATTGTATCCTCTCAGTAGTGTCCTTGCCATACAATGGCATTGATTTGGCTTTAACTGGGCAAACAGTAAAGTTTTACAAGCACAGTGATAAATAAACTGGAGATCCAATTTTTTTGTTGTTGCTGTTGTTAAAAGGCAAATGATTGAAGTCTGGAATTAAGAGCTGTGCACCACATTTTGGCCCAGTGAAATGGAGGGGAATAAGCTATAAGATAGAAACAAAAAATAAATAGAACTTCAGGCCCCAGCAAGGAAGGGGGCGTGCAGACTGTGAGAGCAGTAGGTGGTGCATGCAGGTCCCTGCAGTCCACAATAGAGAAGGAATGAAAGCACAAAATGCCATTAAAAAATGGAAAGCATCCAGAGGAGTTTCCTGCACCACAGTGACTCCAGCCCTCCCCACATCCACTGCCCTGAGACACAGATTGATGACACGTGCAAACCCAGCAGGGTGTTCACAGGGACAACCACCTAAAGAAGAATTATAACTATTTCCACGTCATACCTGTTTGTCCACCCTCCTCTTACCTGATAAACTCCAGACAAGAAGGTCACGGTGGCTGCCACTGTAATGGCATAGCAGCTCCTGCCACACAGCAGCTCCTGCCCTGTGCCATTCACTGGTGAAGGGGTGGTGTTCACGTGTGCTGCTGCACCTGGGGGGACGCTGAGCACAGCTGGTTCCAAGTCATAGCCAGCTCTCTCCATTTCACGATCCACCACTTGCCCCATCATCAGGCAAGTCACACCGAAGATGCTGACCGAGATGTGGCGGGAGGTTCCAAATATGCAGTAAATAAGGCACGCAAAAAAGGATGTATAGAGGCCGTAAATAGGCTCCACTCCAGCCAAGAGGGAGTAGGCAATTGACTGCGGGACTAGTAAGACCCCCACAATCACCCCGGACATAAAATCTCCCAGGAGATCCTCCCTTAGTTTGTATTTAGGAAGCCACCGTAAGATGGGAAAGAAACCAAAAACACAGTCCTTAACTTTGCTTGGAGTGCAGCTGCAGGTTTTCTTTGCTTGCTTAACCACCAGAGCCTTCATGCTCCTCTTCTTCTCTTGGGGTTCCAAGAACATTCTGTGATGGAAACTGCATTTGGTGTCATCTCCTTCCAGCCCCTCAGTCACTGCGTGGACGTTGTTGGTTTCTGTCACCGCTGCCATCACAAGGACTTGCTAAAAACACAAAGAAGGACCACCTGCATTAAACCATAAATGAATGTACTCTGTGTGACCTTCTTAGAGAGTGAACACAGTATTTATGGAAAGTAAGGGCTGCAAGTGTTAGTTCAGCAGAGAGAAAGCAATTTGGGGAAGAGCCTCCCCATCATATCCCTGTTAATCAAGGAATGACCTTTCCTAGGAGGGAAGCTGATGTCCCATAGAATACACCTGCTGCTGGCAATGTTGTGAAATGGAAAGGAATGCAGCAGCCCTGCTCCTCTGGGAGTCTTCCTTGAGAAAATCTCTATCTGCAGCCCGTTTCACCGCGCAAAGACAGACACAGGTTTTATTGTAGTCCAACAGAAATTCCAATACTATTGCTGAAAATTAACTATAAATGGTACATTTATAGCAATGTACAGCTTGGTCTAAATCTCTTGTGGGTTCTTTTTTTTTTTAATGCAGTGATTGCACCTGCCAAATACCGTAAAGACTTGTTCCCTAAGAAGTGGCATTATTTCAGCCAGTGACACACTGGGAAAAGAAAGTGCTCTTCATGCTTCTTAAGAGCTGGTTTTTCAAGTCAATTACAAGTGACTAAAACAATACACACCAGTGGAAAACATATTAATGGGCACAGGGAAAGGTAAGTGGAACACTACCACTAGAATTCGTGCTCTGTCCAAGCTGCCCACAAACAGTAAAAGAGGGTGATTATACCAAAGCACATTTAATAGTGGAAACATATTGCCTGACTGTGAAAGAGCACAATCTTGATGAGACGAGCCACAATGAAAGTTGACAGTAACAAGTGACTGTCAGCATTTATACAGCACTCCCACTTCCAGAAAACATCCAGAATCCCCCAGATTCTCAAAACGACCCAATGATCACGCTTGGAGGAGACTCCACCCCTACCTTTCAGGTATCTAATCTCACTCACCTTTACAGGACTACAGAGCGTGCTCAGGGATAATTTACAGCACTCACAAAACTGCCTCCAGATACTACATAGTGATAATTAAGTATTACAAAAGCCTGTGTCTGCTCTACTCTGCTTAAGCACATTCTAGAGTTGTATTTGCTCCTGAAGTTTTATTCATTTTACAAGCACAGAGTTAGAAATCAAAAAGCTTTTCACCCACTCAAAGCTCAGCAAATCAATATTGTAAAAGCTGAGGGGGGGAAAAAAAAATCACCTCACGCTACTTTTTACATGTAGCAAATTATTTGGATGAGTTTGATTTCTAGATTTTAGTGATGAAAATCCTCCTGATTCCACTCTCCCTCATGCAGGACTTGTAGACAGCTCTTTTAAACCTGGGGTTTTCCAATGTGCCAGGGAACTCCAGTGTCTGGAACATGAAACCCAGAAAGCTCAGATTAGCTCTGCTGTAAAACATTTGCATGGTAGATGATGCCTGGGTTTTGACTGTGTCCAGACAGCAGAAAAATGTTCTAAGTAAAAATCTCTTTGGCTACGAACCTCTGAGCATATACTGGGTCTTTGTGTTGACTTGCATGACAGCTTTCTCTACGTGGCATGAAAAGGGCCTTTCATGACACAGTCCCTGCCTCTCCCCGTGTCAGGATACAAGGAAATGATACAATTTCTAACCCCCCCCCTTTTCACCCTCTTCTGCCTCACAGTGTTGCTCTGTATTATTTTTGTAACCGTTAGCCCAAACTTGCCTAAGAAAACTGGATTTTCTTCCTAGACATGAAAAAAAAAAATATGGAAAAACCCTCTGGTTTAATGGACAGGACACTCTATATATTCTATAGGATATTCTATACATTTAGATGGGAAAAGGAGCCACTGTGTTTTTCATTTTGAAAGCGGCTATTTATGTACAACTTCATATGGCTAGAATTCACTTTTATCAGTTTTTTTCGGCTTGAGTAAGGTCTTCAGGGTGTGTCTGTTTGCCACAAACTTTACTTAAGATAAAAAGAAAAAGACTACAACACAGAACTGAGGGAATTTCCAGTATCTCTCTGTTATAAGTGACTAAAGATACGGGAAGGTTCTGCAGTTCTGGAGATCTGATGAGTTTTACAGACTCTTTCTGGAGCCCATCTGGGCCTTTCTTTCTGATCCCATGACATGGCAGAGGTGAACCTCCACCTGCCTGGCATCTGCCTTTGGGGGAACACAACCAGCAGCACAGCTTGGACTTCATTCCTCTGTCACAGATCACAGTCACTTAACAGTAAGGGAAAAATGGATTGTGAAGCTCATTCACCTACTGAAACAATGTACTACAAGCTTAAACTGAAGATGTGAGTATTTAAGAGTTGAAATTAAATCAAAGGTCAATCAGAAGTATCCCTTCTGCTACACTCCTCTCAGTTTTCCAGATTATTTTTCTACATTTCATGTGCATGAGTTGACACTGTATGTGATCACTACCCACTCTCACGTACCTGCTTTGCTAGACATGAGAAGTTAAAAACAAATGTATAAACACATGATCTAAAGAGACATGATCAATTCCTGAAGAGCTGTAAAGGAGAAGCAGGTGAATCAGAAATCCATGAACTGAACCAGAGCTGGACTACTACCTCCAGGTCCTAGGAAAATCTCCACCTAAGAGTATAAAAGGAGAACACATCACGACATTTTGACAAGTAAATCTTTGACCTTCCTTTTGTTGGACAACAGCCTTTTTCAAATAATGTCTTCACTCTTGTGGAGCAACAAGGAAATTCAATATAGCCATGATAACACCGAGATAAGCACTGGAACAGCAACGTATACACCTTGGAATTTGACAAAATACTTAACATCCTCCAACAAAACATTCTAGCCACAAACATTTACTTCAACAAAGGACTTAATATAATGTGAATACCAAAAAAAGGCATACCATGTTTAAGCAATGCATTTGGGAGCAGAACTACCTTACTTTTGGCACAATAACCACCAGCCGTTCAGTCATGTGGGAAAACCCGCAAAGCCAGACAATAAAACCTCGCTTGTGTGAAATACGTAATCTCCTCCTACTTCAGGTGTCGGTTCTCCTGAGCAGCAGCAACAGCAGTGAAGCTGCTCACCAGCCTCTCCGGGGAAGATCCCATGGAATCGGCAGCCAGCCTCTCCAGGAAGGTCATCTCACCTCCGAGAGCAGCTGTCGAGCGTGTTGGCTGCCCTGCCCTGCGTGAAGCAGATCCCTCCTGCAGACCAGCCACAGTCTCACACAGTGCTCCGGCAGGTTCCATCCGAACTGGATTCCTCACGGAGAGTTTGCTAAGAAGTACCTCCATCGAGTCAGGGCCCTCCTCCAGCCCTTAGTGTTGGCAAGCAAAGGTGAAGCACTGACGAGCTGCCGTGTCGGGCGGTGGAAGAGCCGCCCAAAAGTATTTCCTCGGGCAGTGGCCGCCAGCTCAGCTGCCCACACGGCCCGAGCCCAGCTCCATCCGCAGGGAGAGAGCCCGCCACGGCTCCCGACGGAAACCCACGCACTGGGATTGTGCCGGATAACGGCGTGCTTAGAAGAACGCTGTTTGTTGAGCTGGTTGAGGCTTTTTTATGCTAAAAAAAAAAAAATCTGCAAGAAGAAGAGACACCAAGAAGAACCCCACGCGCTGTTTACACTCCTGAAATTGCGGGGTTCTGCTGAGAGCTTTGGGAGCCAACCAACCAGCAGTTTACATTGCCGGGAGGGAAGTAAGTTACAGCAGCATTTTTGTTTGTAAAACAACATTCACTTTCACCCGCAGGGTCGCGAAGACAACATTCAGTTTCACCCCCAGGGTGCCACTGCCTTCACATCCATCCCCTCGGCTCCCGCCTCGGCAGGAGCTCTCCCTGTGGACCCGCTCCCATCTGCCGCTTTCCTGCTCTTACCCTGCGGAGCCGCTCCGAAGCGGGGCTGTGAGCAGGAGCCGAGCACGGTCCGCACCCGGACGCCGCTGCCGCCCCGACCCCCAGCCCGGCCCGGGCCGCCTCCCCTCCCTCTGCACTCACCGCGGGGCCGCCGGCGGCTCCTGCAGACCTCGGGCGGGTGGGACAGACGGACCGACGGACGGGCGGACCCAGCCCGGCAGCTCCCGGCGGCACCGCCCCGGCAGGGGCCGGGAGCGGCGGGCAGGGAGGACGGGCAGGGCCGCGCCCCTCAGCCCGCCCGCCCCGCTCCACTTCCTAATGGGTTCCACGTGTGGTGCGAGTCAGGAGGGGCCCGCGGGGTGGCTGGTGCGGAGAGTGGCTCCCGGGTCCTGTTCCTGTTCCTGTAGCCGGGGAAAAAAAAAAAAAACCTGCAGCGAGGAACGAGCCGGAGGGACCCGCTCTGTTCTTGAGGAACCCACGTTTCAGGCAGAGAAGTTCCATTCAGGCTTCTAAGTTGAAAGATTGATCAGGGTTGGTAACCCGAGGTAAAAGTGACCGTAAACTTTCCGCAGAGAGGGAAACTGCAACAGTTTCTGGCAGAGGAAACGGCCTCTTTTTCCTCCGAGGTACCACTAGGATTCGTAAAAAGTCTTTTAAAATCCCTCTGTGATGTTTGTTTTGTTTTTTGTTTGTTTGTGTGCGTGTGTGTCGGGGAGGTGCTTCCACCTGGGAAGGACGGAGGATCCCTGACAATGCTGGTACTGAAAACACCAGGTTTTTGTTCGGTACTCCGTTTTTATCTCTAGGCTGGAGGTCAAGGCTGGAGGGGCCATGCCCAGCCTCGTCTGCCTTTCCTTCACAGAAAAGCAGACATTTGATCTGAAATCAAACATTGCCCAATATTTGCATTCCAGGTGGAACCTTGAGCTGTCAAAAAAACCATCAATACACAGTTGGAGAAAGCAAGCCCAGCTTCAAGCCTGCAGAATCCACGTTTGTGTCTTTCAGTGTTAGGCAAATGCTATCAATCTTGCTGTAGAAATACTGAATATTTACGTAGGAAACATTTACCCTCTCCATTAGGGTTTAACTAGATGTCATGGTAGCTAGAACAGGCAAGCTAAAAAGGAAATAAAATAGCTCCCTCCCTCTCCCCTGACTGTCAAAAGAATCAGTGACTTTGACTTCCCAGTCCCCTTAGGGACTACCACAGGAGTTTTAATTGAGTTTAAAGTATATGGTGACTCCAAGACGATCAGAGTGAATCTGTGGAAAGATTGACATCTATGACAAAAGCACTAAAGACGAGCCTTTTGCGTAGGGACGCTGCAGAATCCTAGCAAGAAATCACAAACCCAAGCAACAGGCGTTACAGCATTTTCATTCTTGTTCTAGAGGTATAGGCTGTGGAACAACTTGGATCATGAAATACATCATGTCTTCGTGGACAAAACAGGCAAATAATATCTTCTTGGAACATGATATTAAAAAAAAAAATTCTAAGCATTGTTTTTTTCCTGAACATTAAGCAAATATTTAAGATGCGTTAAGTTTGGAGATGGAGAAGATGGGAACTGCCTAGTTCCCGTCTGTGAAATCCATCTGTGTGTCAAAGCTGGGACAAACCTTCCTCCCCGTCCAGGCATCTGGTCACCCAGACCTGCTGGGCTGAGAAGGCCCCAGTGTCAGACAGACAGAGGCCTCGATGTGGCAACTCTGCCTTATTTAGGAAGCCCATCAGACCTCGTAACAGAAAGAGGCCTACCCAAGTATTTGAAATGCATTTAATTTAATTCAGTCACATCATTCCGTGCTTGGCAAAACCAAAAAAGAAGAGCCATAAAATCAGCTACTTCACTCACCTCCCCTCTTAAGGCTTCTATCAAGGATGAGACAAACGCCAAGTAAAAATGAAGTAGGTGGAGGAAAGGGGGCATAATAAAAAATTAAAGATGTGATAAATCAGAGTTCTTAGATAGTCAAAATACTTAAGCCATAAAGATATCAAAAAAGAAATAAGCTCTGTCCATATCTCAGGACTATGTATGTCACAATTATATTGCTATCAAAAGAGTGTTCAGCACAAATATCTATGCAGAACTGCTACACTCTCAGTGTATGTCATGGTCTTCTAGAGTCAAAAACTAATTAGGTAATAAAATTTTCGGTGTTGTGTGTTAAAAAGTGTAGTTAATTGCTGGACTCCAGTGTTTCTTACATTTCTTTCATCTAGACTTTAACCTCTTTGTTTCCTTAAGGCTGATGCATGGAATATTAAAAGTAAAATCTCAAATTCCCAAGTTTCTTTGCAAACAGACAAATAGGGGGGGAGGGGAATTTAACTGCACCATCAGCTTAGTATCTGACTCAGAAATTCTACCTTTCTAGATATTAATTTTCATCCAAAAGCTTTGTGAGCCTGCAGCGGTATTAAAGCTTTTATTTTTTCCAGTCTACTTGAAATCCTTTGCTTTTGTCATCTAGTAGGGATTATAAAGTTCTTATCTCCCTGATCACATGAATTTTGCCTACAACAGAGTCACCTTCTTTTGCTCTGTTTTGGCAGGTGTTCGCATCAGCCCCAAACTGAGTCTCATAAATCTCACAGTGAAGAGCTACCTGTACTTTTCCCTCCAAATTAGTTGCTTGGCAAGTTTCATCCAGACAATTAATGCCTTTGTTTTGGTCACCAAGTCCCGCAGGCTCTGGCTGTAAGTTAAGCCAAGTACTTCAGTCTTAGTGCTGTACTGTATTAGCTGTGACGGGTGTGCCAAAGGCAGCGTCACACCTGTCTAATGAGAGCTGCCCAGCTCTTCCTGAAAGCACAAATGGCCTTTGCCCAGCCTGCTGCAGACATACTCCTTCTCAAACTGCTCCCAACCCCTCTGAAAGCATCCTGTGAATGTGGCTCCACTTGTGAGAACTGGATGGTTCAGGTTTCTGGGAGGACCCTTCTCTAAACAGGTCACAGACACTTCTGCCAGGGGCTCAGAGATTCAGGGAGCTGATGGCTGGCATGGGGGAAAGGTGAACTCGGTACCTCATCCTTTCCCTGGGGAAAATAAATACCATCATGATGTTAAAAAATTGTGAACTGCTTGGGGGTAGCTATATATCCAGAAAATGCTGCTGAGGGCAGCTGCCTGAAGCGTAAGAACTGCTCAGCACTCTGCTGCCAGTTCCCCTTTCCTTCTGCTAGTGATGGGAAGAGTGGACTCCAATTCTCCTCCTATAGCCTGTGGCTGGAGGTACAGAAACATATGTTTGTAGTGCCAGTTTTGCTGAGGAAATGCTCAGCTGATATTTCAGAAGGGGCTACAGAGGTGCTGATGTTTCCTAAGTGTAGTCAATGTAGGGTGCTCTTTGAGATAGTGGGGAGGGAGTGACTTAAATAAAATGTTTGAGTCAGTCTCACTCTCTGTAGCGATTTGCAGCAGCAGCACTGAACTGCACTGGCTGGTGACAGCCAGAGAGAAGCCCAGGTAATAAAAGTGCTGAAGGACAGGCTCATTTCTTTTGCCTCATTTGAGTGGTTGAGTGCAGCTGTCCTTCGTGTCTTGCTGCCTTCAAGCAGTAAGGAATATCTGCAAAGTCACCTTGAGCTACTGCTGAGCTCCCAAAATTTGGCCAGGCACTTTCTGTTGTGCTGACAGTTGATGTGTGCAGCAGACCAAGGACTGAGGATACATTACAGCTTGGCCAGTCCATCCAAGCCATGAAGGGAGATGTTACTCTAAATCTGATATGCAGTTTGCTGCATTTAGTTTTAATCCCTGCAAGTAGATATATGTTATCACAGGTGACAGAATAAAGTTGTAACCATGAATCCCACAAAAGCGCACAGAACTTTAGCCTTTCTTTGTTAAAAATACTTTTGTTGGAAACTCTGTTTTGCAGTATTTTTATAATTTATAGTAGAAACACCCAGGTTGTGAACCTACGTGTGGAATCTGGATCCCAGCTAGGCACAGAGCAGCCTCCAGCACCAGAGAGTGAGCCTAATTGCCTGGAAGCATCCATGAAATCCCTTTGTGGAGCTGGCATGTGCAGTAAAGGCTACATCAGGAAAACACAGATGTGCTTGGTTAGGAAAGAACATCCACGCCTGGCTGAGGGAAGTGATTGTCCTGCTCTGCTCTGCACTGGTGTGGCCTCACCTCGAGCCTGGTGTGCACCACAGTATAAAAATACCTAAAGCTCTTAGAGAGCATCCAAAGGAGGGACATGAAGATGGTGAAGGGTCTGGAGTGGCTGAGGTGACTTGGCTTGTTCAGCTGGAGGAGACCAATGTCAGACCCCACTACGGGCTTTAACATCCTCTCAAGAGCAGCAGAAGGGCAGCTCTGATCTTTGCTCTCTGTGACCAGTGACAGGACCTGAGAAAACAATAGGAGCTGTCTCAGGGGAGGGTTAGGCTGGATATTGGGAAAAGGTTCTTCCCCCAGAGGGTGGTTGGGCACTGAACAGGCTCCCCAGGGCAGTGGTCACGGCCCCAAGGCTGACCAAGAGCTCAAGGAGTGTTCAGACAATGCTCTCGGGGACAGGGTGGGATTTTTGGGGTGTCCTGGCCAGGGCCAGGAGCTGGACTGGATGATCCTTGTGAGTCCCTTCCAACTCAGCATATTCCATGATCTGTACCCACGGAGATGTGGCCAGTAAAGCATCTTTGTGTGCTACTAACCGTGGTGGTTACCATGGCTCTTTGAACACTCTGTGGAAGCACTAAAATGTTGCCTCGAGGTTGATCCATACAAAGATAAGACACTGCTACAAAGACACTTGTGTTGAATGGGATAATCCAAATCCGTAGCATGGTCCTGAACAGCTTTCTACTGCAGCCACCCACAAACAATGCTCTCAAGAACTAATTCCTGGTAATGGTATGAAATCACACAGCCTTGCTTATCTGCACCATTTATTTGGTTATCCAGCCACCTAATGACAACAGAATCACCACAAACAATAGTGCACAAATATAATGAGAACCACGAGGTGATACAGCCCACGGTTTGGAAAACAACAGAAATCAAAGATTTTCTTACATTCATGTTAATTCTTAGCACTTCATTTTTAAATTTGCATCTGCTACAGAATTGATTTGAATGGAAGGGATGCAGGGGAGGTCAAGACACTTGGCAGATTCTCATTATTAAAGGTAATTTTTAACAATATTAAACTTTTCCTTTCCAATTCAGTTCTGATGTTTGTTCTTCGCCTCCCTTTTTCTTCTGGTAATTCGTGAACCAAGAAGTTTTATATCTGTCACACGCTAGTCCTTTACTTTGGTTTGTCCTGTAGGAATACACAAGATGGAAAAGTTGTCATTACTGTAACAATAGTCATATTTTATTGCTATGTTAAAAACATACTTGACAAGTTGCTGCCAAGTAGAGCTTCACATTGCCTCAGAAAACAATATTTCTTTTCTCTTTCGAGGAGCTGTATCATTCCATATAGACCACAGCCATTGGTATGTCTGCAGAAGACAGCTCACAAGACAAATAAATGGACATGTACCCTGATTAAAAGATATACCTCCAGATTTGCTCCAAAAAATTAAAAAGTGGTGAAGAAAGTAGGATTTTCCTTTGAATTTATGGATTAGGAAAAACTTGTTTGCAAACTGCAGTTTCAGCGATAAAAAATTAATTAAAACCATCTTTTATATGACTTCTAAATAACATTTATTCAAAGAAGCTTGTGGAACAGATGCACCACTGTGCCCAGCAGAAATATATCTGAGCACTGGACTAGTGCTATCTTAAGAGAAATAGTGTTCACACATTTCATATCTCCTCCCAGGTCTGGGAATCCTTTCAGGCACTGGGTTCGCTCCAGTTTCTGCTCAGTTGGTGGGAACCCCTCTTTGGTCTTTGCTTGGAACAGGCTCAGACTTTAGTGAGTGCTGAAGCAAACCCAGTGTCTCCCTCAGGCTGAAGATAAATGATTTCTCTGGTGAGTTCCCAGAGATTTCTGCCCAGTGCAGATTTTGAGAGCTGTGCCCTGAGGCTGCACGTCTGCTGGTTCACCTCTGGCAAGGAGAGGAGATGCGTACAAAAAAATGCCATTCACATTTTTAGGCGAGAGATTTTCTCTGCGAGACTCAAAGTGCCAAGCCAGAGTTCTGAGGAATAAACAGTATTTTCTAACACTTAGGAATCTGAAGAGGTACCAATAGCTGAAGCCCCACTGTAAAGAAACGGTGTTGAATGTTAGTGCCTCATGAAACACAAATCACATCTTGTTAACAGCGAAATAAGATATGTTAATGGACCTGCCCCTCCTCTTTTGAGAGGAAGGACAGCCTTCCAGACTCTGCTGGGCTCTCCTTGAAACTGAAGCAGAGAAGCACAGGACATAAGGTCCTCAAATAAAAAAGTGCTGGAGAAATTTGTCAGCAAATTTCTCATTTTTTAAGTAAGGAAAAGGATTTACCTGTTCCACTTAATTTGGTTGGCGAGTACACCTAAAAAAAAAAAAAAAGAAAAAAAAAAGATGGAGAAGAATGGGTAAGAAAGCTAGCAACAAATTCAAGTTTAGGGCTTTGTACTGTATCCCTGGGTCTCATGGTCAGAGATCAGCTACGTGGGGATAGGGGTGGGCAAATGAAGAACACATTTCTTGAAAGCACGACTGAGCACCCAAAGACATGGGAAGTTGGTGGGAGCAGGAAACTACATCAGATAGAGAAGAAACTGGCCTTGCACTGCTTAGGAAAAGACTTCTTCCTCATTATCCGCAGAAAAAGTCTTTCTGCCCCCTTTCCCCCCCCCCCTCTCCAACACTCCCAAGATCCCACACAAATCCACATCAGCCCCTCAAGGCCATGTACGTGCCCTGATTAAAGCAGATGCCGGTCAGTGGCCATCAGCCAGGACTGTGAGTCCCATGGATTGCTCTTTTCCAGTGGGTCAGCAGCTCAAGGCGGGTGGGTCGGGGCAGCTCACCTTGCAGTTTGCGCAGGACGCAGTCCAGGTCCCTCGTGAAGTACCGCATCAAGCCTTGGTAGCAGCCAATCCTGGTGCGATCCACCTGCACCACCACCACATCTGCCCTGTCAATGTTCGAACTCTGCCTCGCAATCCTAGGGCACAGACAGTCACCCCAATAAATGCAAACCATTTAGCATTTAAAAGCTAACAGACTTCCTCACTAGGATTCTTTGGAGGGTCCTACAAAGAGGAGGGTGCTTTGGCAACATGAAGTATTGGGTAAACAGTTGTTATATAACAACTGTTATATACTGTTATTTGTTTATCAAAGCTGGATGGTAACTTTCAAATGCTTATAGGGAGAAAGGGGGAGGCATTTTGATGACAACTGTGTGTGAATAGTGCTTTGACTTGATGCTGTCGTAGCACAACTGCTGCCGTGACAGAACAAAAATGCCAAACATACTAAATGGTGTCCAGGCTCCTGCAAAATGATTTTGATCCCATAGGCTAGAATTTGACGTGCAGCGCAGTTGTAAGTAACAGACTGCACTGCTGTGAGCACAGCCCCAAGGTACGCAATGATTCAAATCCAAGTTCAAACTCAGCTTTAATCTGTACAAGTTACAGAGATGACAACATCCAGGTAGATGTTTGAGCCAGCCCTTCATGCAGCTGGGGCCTTCAGTGCTGCTGCAAAGCCTCCTGTGGATCTCTAACTTACTGTCAGTGTGGATTTGCACCACCGAATTACAGCTGACACCCAGGAGTCACTGAGGAAGTTATAAATTAAGCATATCACTTGCAAGAGAAGCAATAATAAATCTTTCCAGCTACTAAGCTTGTCCCCAAACCAAAAACTTTGTGGGAAACGAGCCAGTTACCTCTGCAGCCAAAGGCTGTTCACTGGGACTCAGCTGAAGGAGGGTCACCCATGCACACCCAAGAGAGCGCCGCTGTAAACTGAACCCTATGGGCTTCATCTCAGATACAAACATTTTTCTGGCAATAAATGCCAGTGGTTTTCATCAGAATCCAGCAAGGAAAACAAAATTTAAAGGGACCACTAGAGCAGGAGGCAGGTATTTCTCCATCCTTGTTAATTGTGTGGATGTGGTGCCCTCTGTCTCACTGGAATAGGGAACAGCTTTGCAGCACAGGGTGGCAGGACTGAGGGGCACAGGCAGTGGGGTCTGATTCCAGTTATCACACCATATTTTTTCTAAGAAGAAAACAAGTGTTTACAGGTGGAACATACCTGTCTGTGGCCAGTTGAAATTCCTACAAGGACGATTATCAAAAAATAAATAAATAAATAAATTAAAAAAAAAAAAAAAGAAAACGAAAAAATTTGTTAGTGTGATTATCAGAAAGGGAAGCTGCCTGAGAAATAGGCATATCCATGAAGAAAAACTGAATATCACTGCTTACCTTGAAGAAGAGGAAAATATCTTGTCGCTCTCTCATCTTCTGCAAAAGCTGAAGATTCTGCTTAACCTCCTTTCTCCTCTCTTCCATTTCCTTCTTCACTTTGTTAATGTCTGCCAGTTGCTTTCTCTCATTAGATTGAATGTCACTCAGGATCTTCTTCTCTTTCTTAACCAACTCTGTCTTTAACTCGTCAAACAGCTTTTGTATCTGAGAAGTCACTGTCTTTGTATTGGTCTAAATGAAGAGATTAAGAAAATGGGGCACTAGCTCAGGAACCCCACACTTCAGCTTAGTGCCTCTCTTTATCAATTTGGATTGTATCTGTCCTTTGCACTGGCTTTAGAAGGAAGCAGACAGTAAGTATTTGCTTAGAATATCTCATTAAACAGAGGCTTATGAAAATTAATCCTGATATAGTCACAAAATCAGATAAAATTCAGCTACTAATGTGAGAACTGTATCTGTACTCGGTCAGAACTCCACCTGTAGATGCAAAATGCTTTTTTCTAATGGGTAGAAAACTTTAAAAATATATAATGATATATACAATCTGTGGTCTGCCAGTCCTGTAACCTGTGTGACCACAATAAAGGGTGGAATCTCCCAGCTGGTTCCTCCTGTGGAGCTGTGCCAGGAGGCTGTGAGAAACTTGGCTTCTGGCAGTTTCTTACACCACTGTTTTCCTGGTTTTGGATTATATCCCTTTCTATTCATCTGCTTTTCACGGCATAGTTGCCATCACTTACTGCTGGGAAATTGTGAAGGAAATTGAATTAGCAAGGATCTGGGTACCAACCTTGAGCTGATTCTCGCTTTTCTCAAGATCTTCCAGGGCGGTAACTAAGGCACTTTCATTTTGCTGCAGCCGTGTCACTGTGTTCAAGAGTTTAGTCTGGCAGAAGGAAAGACAGCATTGAGTTTCATAGCAGGGACAGCCTTAAACCAGACTGGCAGTTTGTGGAGATGAAATGGCACAGGTTCCTTCTGCCTGCCCTCTTTCACCAGTGAGTCCTTCCTATAATAAACTGTGTTCACTTGTCTCCTCATAAAGATAGGGCATAACAGGAAACTGTTTCATTTTTATATATGTGTGACTTTGTGGTAGGTTAATTAATAACTTTCCCTTTGAGTAAGTAAATTTCATTTTAAATCAGTAAATCTCATTTTATCTGTTAAAGCTTCACAGAATCTTCACATGTGCCTTAATGTGGTCCAAATCCTTAGTTTTCATCTGTCAGCAGCTGTGGGATCTCAGGATAAGGTAATAACCAATTATCTTTTCTGAAAATCAGCAAAACAGCAGTACTTACTCACCCAGCTATTTATTTTAAGGGATACCATCATCGTTGAATGCTGTGGAACTGCACAATAGCACAGTTAGAGGAGACAATAAACCTTGTTCTTTGGGGATTGGGCAGTCTCTGAATGGCTTTGGTTGCTTCCAGCAGTGTTTTCACACCTTGAGCACCCACGAATGGCCATGACAGACACATCTCCCAGACTTCCATTTTTTAATAAAAATCATGCCAGAAATTTTAGATTTTCCATGAGATAGTTGTCACAGCTGTCACAGAAGTTTTAATTTTTGAAATATTGAAAGACAAATAATCAAACTTCATCAAGGTTCCTCTCACCAAAACCCTTTTACAATTCCTCCTGAACAGCTGCATTACCGATTTCACAGGCTATCCTGGGGAGTTTTAAAAATAACCACCCAAGAGGAACATGCAGCAGAGATCTCAGTTTACCCACAGGGATGGATCCCCTCTAGTCAGGGCAGTGTTGCTCCTTTACTGGCCCCAGGGATGAAGGAAACAGCCTCTGTCTCACACAACCCACTTGTGCTTGGCAGCTCTGAATTTTTTATATGTAATGTGAGGGAGGAAATTTGTGATAACTGCAAAGGGTGCCTCCTACTAATTCCTGAGGAGGCAGTGATCTGTCCTGAAGTTCAAAGTAAGCCAGGCATTTCCTGCCCAGGCACTGGGTTCCTGCATGGTCTTTTTTTTAGGCTCTAAACTGAGCCCAGAAATTTCAAATGCAAGGCACGGAGCATAGTAAATGCATTTTATCACCTCAGTCTCAGCTGATTCTGGAGCATTTCAAGGGCAGCAGCTGGACTCAGAAGAAGGAATGTGGAGGCCCCATGTCTCTGTATCTGCTGGGCCATTGGCTTAGCAAAATTTATGGCAGAGGGAGGAACTGCAAAATCACATAATCAGTTAGGTTGGAAAAGACCTCTGAGATCATTGAGTCCAACCTGTGACCCATCCCCACCTTGTCAACTAGAGCAGAGCACTGAGTGCCTCATCCAGTCATTTCTTGAACACCTCCAGAGATGGGGACTCTCACTCGCTCTCCCATTTTCTCACACGCTGAAGGATTTACCCATCCTTGTCCCAGTCAGCCCCAAACACCTCTCTGCTCTTCTCCCTCTGCTTAGCCTGCCAGGCTGCTCTGGCAACACAAATGATGAAAAGAAAAGAAAAGCAAATTCCAGCAAAATGCACCAGTCCCTGCTGGGGCAGATATGAAATCCCTGGAGCTGTTGCCTGCCTGCCCCCACTCCCCACTCCAATCCCCATTCCCTGGTAAAAGCCTCACTGCCCTTCCTGTGGCTTCCTCCAGGTCAAGGGGTCAGAGCAAATCCCGCAGGAGCTGTGGGGAGAGAAGAGCTCCTTACCAGCTGCTGGTCATGTCCCTCCTTCAGGGTGATGACCCTGTGGTTCATGTGGGCCCCCCTGGTGAAGCAGAGCATGCAGATGTACTGCCCCTCCCAGCAGCAGTAGTATTCCAGCATCCTGCCATGCTGCAGGCACCTCCTCTCCTCCACCACACTGCCTGCTCCCACTTGCACCAGGATGTGGTCCCGGTAGGAAGCCTTGGAGTTGTGTTTGTTCAGATGGGACTTGCACAAGGACGCATCGCAGATCAGGCAGGTTTTCACCGCTGGCTGGGTCTCATCCAGGCAGTACTCACAGGGGAACACCTCTGTCCCCATTTCTTCAGAGCCCTTGCCGCGTTTTTCTTTGGAAGTCTTGGCCTGAAATGCCTTCACGATGTTGCACAGGTGGAAATTTTTCTGCAGCTCCAGGTTGGGCCCCAGGTAGAACCTGCACACGGGGCAGGTCAGAGGAGCCAGGGTTTGTTGCTGGGCTGTGAGCACCTTCAGGATGCACTGCTGGCAGAAGCTGTGACGGCAGCTCAGCAACACTGGGTCCTTGTAGAGGCACAGGCAGATGGAACAAACGAGTTCGGCCTCCAGGCTGGCACCTCCTTCAAATTCTTCACTAGCTTTTTCCATGGCTGCAGAGATGAGGCCCAAGCCAGACTGCGAGAACGAAAACTAACAAGGCGGGAGACCCAGCCCAGACGCTGCAAATACTCCCTCTCCACCCCCGCACAGATGTTCCCTCACCCAGCTCCACCCTCAGATGGTTCCTGTGCGCCCTGGCAGCCACTTGGGGAAGTTTTCCCTCAGTCTCGGGCAGCACTGCTCTGGTGTGAGCTCCCGCCGGGATGCTGGGAGCAGGAGGGGCTGGGGAGGGCACAAGATGGACAATTGTCTTGCAGCCTTCTGCCCCCTCCCCCCCAAAAAAATTTCTCCATTCCACAACAATGGCAGCAAATTTGAGATTAACCCTGGCTGAGAATGAGCCTAGCAGGGGTAAGCCAGGAATACCCTCTGCATTGGCTACAACTCCCCAACAGTCCCAGGTACTCCCTAGGGGTAAAATAAGAACCCAAAGGAAAACTGAACTGGGACTTGTTGAGGCACATCTACCAGCAGCCAGCTGACAGGAAAGTGGAGGTTGGTAAAAGCTCTCAGGCACTCTAAGATAGGAATAGCCCTGTACCATGTCATGAGCCTTGCTTACCCCTCTTTGTGCTTACCCTCCTGTGTACTACCTGAGACAAGGCAGAGCAGCAGCCACTGCAGGTGCATTTGGGAGACCCAACTCTACCTGCATGGTTTTCCATATCATTTTGGTATATAAAATGAAAAAGAAAAAACACAGCTTTCTTCCAGGACTGAACACGAATATATTTTAGCATATGCAAACCTGCAGTGTCCCTCAGGGTCTTTCACTGTCTCTGCTGGGATGAAGAGCTTCTGCTTGGGCCGCTTAATGCAAATACTCTGACTCTGTCTGAAGGCAACAGAACCACAGGCAGCAGGCAGGAATATCATCTCTTCCTCTCTAAGGTGTTTGGACAATCGTAAAATCTTACTAATCCATACCACATATGGCACAGGGGGTTTTGCTTCTGCATCGGATGCAGGACTGGCAGAGGCAAAAGATGCTGCCTTAGAGCCAAGATCAGCATTGCTGCTGCTTAGTTTTATTGCAGTTCATACTGTGCTCTCAACTTTAGGACAAAATAAACTGCCACTGACTTTTGCAAATTAAATGACTTTAATAATGTGCTGCCAACACAGTATTTGATACAGCTGAGCAAAAACAAGCAACTTAATGGTATTTCCATCATGGTTAACAGAACAAATAAGAGAGAAGTTCTTGCAGTAAGAGGCAGTGTGCTGTGATATACCCCACAGAAGCCATTACAACCACCCACAATCCGTTTTTTGATATGTAAGCTTAGCACCCCCCCTGCGCAGCAATGGTCCCAATTCCTAGGCCTGGAAATACAAAGTGACACCTTCTCCTTACATCAAAACAGGAGCTTCAAGGAGCCATCAGACATGCTGTTGGCAGCATGGATGGGATACTTCAAAGGGATGCTTACTGCCTCTATAAGCCTGAGGCTCTTAGCAGGATCTCCAGCCTTGACAGACACGTTAAATAAAGGCAGACTGTTTCTTCCGCAGTCCAGTTTTGTGTTTTCTGATGGCCGTTCTACTTCGAGGCTGTTGTCCTAGGAACATGCAGAGGTAATCGTGAGGCACTTGCAGGTAGCACTCAGACAGCGTACACATGATTCCAAGCTTCCAGCAGCTCTCATTGATGGTGTTCACCTCCCAGAAGCTCTGGTCACTCTGCATGTCTGGGACAGCACTGCACATATTTGAGTCCTGTCCTGCTTTTGGCTGGGATGGAATTCACTCTCTTCTCAGTAGCTAGTACAGTGCTGTGTTTTGGATTCAGTATGAGAATAATGTTGATAACCCACTGATGGATGGTTTGGCTGTTGCTGAGCAGTGCAAGGGTCCTGAGTCAAGACCTATCAGTACCTCATGCTCTGCTAGTGAGGAGCTGCACAGAAAGCTGGGGAGGACCATAGCTGAGGCAGGTGACTCAAACTGGCCAAAGGGATATCCCACACCATAGAACACCATGCCCACACCATATAAACAGGGGGAGGCAGGCAGAAGGGGCTGATCACTGCTCAGGAACATCATAGAGTGGGCAGGCAGGGAGCAGTTTTATTGTGCATCACTTGTTTTGGTTGGGTTTTCTCATTCTCTTTGCTCCTTTCTGTTATTGTTATCATTAGTAGTGGTATCATTATTATTATATTTTGCTTTGTTTCATTTATCAAACTGATATTATCTCAATCCACAGGTTTTACAGATTTTTCAGAATTTCCGAAAGTACCCACCAAAGCTCATACTTGAAGTAGAGCTGGGAGGAGGAGTGCCAAAGGAAAAAGGAGAGTAACCTGGATGTGGGTAACCTGGTTGACCTGTACTGCTGTGAGGAGTTGAAAACAGCACCCCTTTAAAATATAGAGAAAGAGAAAAAACACATTATGATTAACAGATAATTGTGCATTGATGAAAGCTAGACTTCCCAATCCAAGTCATCCAAGTCATCCAAGTCCAACTCACCCAAAGCATTAAAAGCATATGTTAACTGGAACACCTTCTGCACTCTCTTAGCTTCTCCTATGTAATTCTGAGGTGGTGGACAGCACATTTTGGGAATTGCTGCTCTTTCACAGTTTTAGCATGGTGTGCTTCTTAGTGTACCCAAGGCTCTACAGATGGTGGCCAGTTAGGTGTGCACACCACTCACTGTCACACACGCTCTGACCTCAGCTGTCTCAGTCTTGACCCATGGCTGTCAGCAAGGGCTGAAGCATCCTCAAGACAGCAGTAACAAGGGAACCCTGATTTTTTCCATTCAGCTGGACAAATACCCCACCATGTACAACCACACTGTAGGTTGAGCTTCCAAAGCATTACAAAAAAGCAAAAGTATTTGCACAAAAAGAGCAGAGTATTTATGTCGTAAACAAACTCCACCTGCTGCTGCTGTGATGAGTTCTCAACTTTTCCCTTGAATCAAAGGGATGCCACAGACAAGGGAGGAGTTGCTATTATCTTCTCCCAATCCTTATGGAAAACTCCTAGAAATTCCACACCTCTTTACCCAGAGCCTGTTTTAACAGTGTGTATCCAAGGCATGCCCCAAAACACTGAAGTCCAGGACAAGTTTCCCTTTTGGTACACACATGTGCAAATTAGCATACAAAGTTAGGAATCAACACTTCTAGGGGCACTTCGTGTACTTGGTGTCTTGTATTACAACCCCTTCTCAAAGATGTTTTGTTGACTCTTCCATCTTGCTTTTGGTATAGTGAAATGATCACTTACCAAGTGGTGATGGTTTAAATGAGGACTCCATGTTTGAAAGGAATTCCTGGAAAAGGTGTAGAGTATTGCGTGTTGTTGATTCATCCACAGCAATAGGTGAGTTTGTCAGTTCCACACCATCCATGACAGCAACTGGCTTGCGTTCCCTAATACATGCAGAAAGAATCATAGAACCATAGAATCATAAAATCATTAAGGTTGGAAAAGACCTCCAAGGGCCTGATTGCCACACTATTTTTGGTACAGGTCAGGATTCCATCGGCTTCTTGTCCACCTGGGTACATGCTGGCTCATGTCCAGCCACTGTTGACCAGCACCTCCAGGTCCTTTCCCACCAGGCAGCTTTCCAGCCACTCTTCCCCCAGCCTGTAGCTGGGGTTATTGTGACCCACGTGCAGGACCTGGCATTTTGCCTTTATTGAACCTCATGCAGTTGTCCTGTATCGATACAGCCTGTCCAGATCCCTCTGCAGAGCCTTCACACCCTCCAGCAGATCAACACTCTCGCCCAGCTTACTGAGGGTGCACGCCATCCCCTCGTCCAGATCATCAGTAAAGATATTAAACCTTGGGAAGATCTTACCTGGTGTGAATTGCTGTAAAAGCCTGGAAAGACATTTTGAAAGCAGAATTAGCGTAGCACAGGCCAGCCCAAGAGCTGTGTATCTCTGGGAAGGGAGATGCTGTTAGGTACCTTGGTGAAAAGAAGTACATCTTTCTGATTTCTCAGAGCCTCCAGCTCCTGAACATCATGGCTGGCTGAATGCTTCTGCTTTTCATGGTTCTTTATCTCCGTCTGAATCTGAGAAAGTTGTTGCTTCTCATGGTCACTGAGAGTTTTCAGGATCTCACTTTTTTTTTCCTCAAGCTGCAGACTGATCTCTCTGAATAGGCTCTTCAGCTGTTCCCTCTGCAGACTCTGCTTAGTCTATTAAGAAAACACTTTCAAAGCTGTAAGGGACTGTGCAGGGACATTTTCCACACAAGCTCTCACTCAGAAAAGGGCTTGTTCTTTTCTGGGATGAGAGAAGTAACTAAAAATTGAATAAAGTTGGAAAATAAAAAAGCCACACACCAGCCACTCATCAGGAGGCATGGATTTAACAACAACTTTCAAGCCTAACTAAGAATGTACCTCCCAGACCGATAAGAAAGTTGTTCATCATCCTCCCTCAAAGAAGAAACCTCAGAAATACATGAGAAATCACCCAGGATCTAAAAACCTTCAGAATCCATGATCTGGGAAAAGGCAAAAGAAAACTTTATCTCATCAGTTACCAGCATGCAACCATCCCCAAAGTGATATGGAGCCTTGGAACAAACCTCTACTTCCTTCTCTTGTTTCAGCAGGTTTGCTATGCTTTGATCCAGCTCAGCTTCATACTTTTTCACTTCTCTCAGAGTTTCAGGAAAAACACTCTACAAATATAGCCAATGGGAGATATCAGGATAGGACTCACACACATGCATGAAACCAGCAATTTTATAGACATAGGCTAAGCTAGACTTGCCAAAGGTTTGCTCACTGCATGCTCTCAGGACAAATCAGGTTTTACTGCAAGATTTTATCCCTGAACAAATGCCTCAATTACCAGCACAAGAAAAATCATTTGAAACTGAAAAGTGTTCATGTATAATAGCCACGCATAAAGCTACTTCTGCTGCTGGCAGCTTCCCTTCTGTTACTCTCTCATTAATTTTCTTTGCATAACTGCAGCTCAGGCTGACCTTTGGCTTGGAAGTGCACCGAGTGCACCAAAGCCACGAGCACACGGTCCCACCAGTTTGCCCAAACTCTCCCCTCGGCACGGGAAGAAAGTGTTTACAACATCTTGTTTTACATCCCAGGGGCCAAGCCCAGAGGGAACCTGGGACTAAACCAAGAATAAAAGCCCAAGATGGGAATTCAACCCCATTCTGGGTCTGCAGTTCTGAAACTCGGGAGGAGTCCCAGCCCGGTGCTGCGGGCAGCTCTCCGTGCAGCAGCGCCCCGTGGTTTTCCTAGTGCAATCCCTGATCGAGCCGCTGTCCCGGCAGCCTCTTACCTGAGCACGGCCAAAAGCCTCCTCCAAACTGATGATCTCGTGGTCCTTGTGGGAGCTGAGGACAGAGCACAGCATGCAGATGCAGACCTTGTCCTGCGCGCAGAAGCATTCCAGCAATTTGCCGTGCTGGCGGCATTTCCTCTCAGCCAAAGCCTGGGCACCACAGGGCTCCACCAGGGCGTGGTTTCTCTGGCTGTTTGAGCTGTGCTTGCTCAGGTGGGCTTGGCACAGGGAGGCTTCGCAGGTCAGGCAAGTCTTCACGGCTGGCTGGGGCTCCTGAAGGCAGAAATCGCACAGGATCACCTCCTCTTGCCGCCTCGAACTTTCCTCCTTCTCTTTGCATTGCACTTCCTGCTCTTCCTCCCCTTGATGAGCAGAAGCATCCAAAAACTTCTGCGCTATGTTGCGGAGATGGAAGTTGGGCTTCAGCTTCTCGGCTTGGCCTATGGGGGTAAGGCAGAGTGGGCACTTGGAAGGGCTCTGCTGGCATTTCTGTTCCTCCCGGATGCACACCTCGCAGAAGCTGTGACCGCACCCCAGGGACACTGGGTTGCTGTAAATGTCCAGGCAGATGGGGCAGGTCAGCTCGTCCTTCAGCCTGGCCGCAGCGCCCGCCTCGGCCATGGCGCCCGAGCCTCGCAAACAGGAGCAACGCCCTGCTGGGGAAACGAAACTGAAAGCGGCAGTGGGGCAGGGCCTCCCGTTTGCTCTGCGGGCAAAAAGCTGCTGCCTCCTCCCCCTTGAGAGGGAGGGTCTTCCCTTTCCTCCGCCGAGCATCCCGCATCTCGCCCGCTACGCGGCAGAAGCCTTGGCCGCCGCAGGACGAGTTCAGTTCAGCAGCTCAGGGCTGGGAGCTTGGCTGCTTGAAGGGTGACAGGGCAAATAGTCCACCAGCCCTGCTTACACGGGTCTGCAGCAGCCAGGACTCGGAGCGGGAAGGAAAGCTGGGGAGGAGTCCCTGTGGGCATGGGGCAGCTGGACAAGCAGGGAGAGAGGTCCCCGAGCTGGCAGGGGGCAAAAGAACCAAACCTGTCCCTGTTCACCTCTGCAAAGGCACCTGGATGGACCTGGACAACAAACTGGGACCGATAAATGCTGAGAGTGGGCAAATGCATCCGTTACTTAAAGTGCAGCCTCCAGAGTCCCTGGACAGACCTTGAGTGGCCCAAAGCTGAGGTCTGTGTCAGGGAGTGGGAAGCAGAGCCCAGGGCAGGATTTGGTGTCGGCTGGCACTGCTCAAGGCACAGGTGGGAGCTGCAGCTCCAAAAAGCAGCCCAGGACAGCTCGCTGGGCAGTGAAATGAAGTCCAAGCAGCAGCTGTTTCACACTGGTCAGGGGTAGGAGCCTGGGGTGTGCTGCCCATGCTACCCTGCTGCCCACACTGCCTGCCAGGTGCTAGCTAGCCCAGGGCAGTGACCAAAGCTGTCCTGTTCACAAAAGCTCATGACTGACTGATTTTCCCCTCTCACAAGGCACACTGTGCCTAGCCCAGGAGACAGATAACACTGCCTCCCTCCCCTCCAGCCCTGTAAGATACTGTGTGAAAAGGAGCTGTTTTATCACTAAGTTATGCCAAAATGAAAACTATCCCACCGGCTTTTTCCAAATGGTTGGAACTAATTGCTGGGACTAATGGAGCTGCTGAACTGATGTTGACATTCACCAACAGCTCCCTTCAGTCTCTAGGTCTGTTCTCAAAAATTATCCCCAATTAGCAATTATACTTGATAAACAATATCAGTTGTTCATTTTCCAGGAAGCTGCCTGGGAGGCACAGGTCAGGCTGGGAGGACAAACCTAAACTGTGGGTGTCTCTCTCCCTGCAGACTTTTCCTTCATGTGTTCCAGCCTGGGAATCCACTCCCGTGCCTCTGCTCCTGCATGAACCCACCCCGGGCACATCAACACTATCTGCCTCAGCAGCATCCCCACATTTCCCCTGTTTTCTTCTGTCCTGGCACTGTCACTGTGCCTGATGTTTGGTGGCCCTGCAGCCACCTGGTTTTGGAAAGCAGCAGGGAATGGGCTTCCAGTGAGTTCTCCACTTGCAGCAGTCACAGGGATGAGGGGCTGGGTTTGGGGTGGGATGCTGGTTCTGGCTCTGTGGCTGCGCTGAGGGACCCACACTGGGCTCCTACCAACTGTGCTGGAGACAGACAGGTGTGGAGCTGCTGCCTAAATTGGTGCATACCTGCAAAAAACCGGTAGCTGGGACAGCTCAGCACCTTGCAGACCTGCTCCTTTCGGGCTGCTGGGATCCTCCCGCTCGGCCGCATCACCAAGGCACGTTCTTGATAAATCCAGTGCAACCTCTCTGACCTGGTGAGTCCTCACAGGGGCTGGCACAGGGCTCCCGTGTGCCAGATGCTCCAGGGCAGCTGCCTTCCGTCCCATTGCTTCCACAGCCTGGGCTCCCCCGATGACCAGGACACCAGGACACCCTGTGCTGGGACACAGTGGCTGTGTCTCTGGGAAAGCAGGCTGGCTCCCTGGGGACTGCTCTCCTGCTTCCAAGGGACTGTCCAGGTGCCATCCTGAGCTGTATGGCTGCTGCATCACCATCTAGAGTGTTTTCCACACTTTTTCTTGCTCTCTTACTCCCACTCAAGCAAATTTGAGGTGTATGCCCCACTTCATCTTTAACCCTCCCAGTCAGGAGGGTTTCTTCTGCAATGTGACATCGGCACAGCTCCAAAGTCCAGAATACAGAGCCCTGGCTTTTCCTGCACAAATTAAACTGGAAGAAGCCGCACTTAAAATAGCAATATACAGGGATATTCCCCCACAGGAGCCTTATCCCTGTCACCAGTGTGAGCGAGCTGGGGGGTTCTGCCACCCCCATGGCCCCAGACATGCCCCCACAGTCCAGCTGCCCAGGCAGATGCAGGAGAGCACCTTCAGCAGAGCAAAACACCTCCTCCCCAAACAGCCTTGCACTAACAAATTCAAATATAGCAGCACAAACTTGTTCTTTTGTTTTTTCTCTCCACTTTATAGTATATATGTTATCGTTTATTTATAGGCAGATCACTTCACTATTTACAGTACATGAGCGTAGAGATTCTACAGTCTTTTTGATGTAAACAATTAACTCCGCGGCAGGGGAGTCTGGAAAAAGAAGCCAGTTCTGAAGTATTTACACAATTTAAAATAGAACTTTTATACCCACTGGATAGATATAGAGAATACATTGAGCGATTTGGTTAAATTATCTATGAAACTATAGAATCTGACAATGTAAAAATACAAGAAAACGTTCTCTTATTTTAGAAGGTAGAGAGTTAAATCACACTAGAAATAAATCTCTTTTTTTTAAAAATAATAACAATAATAATAAAGGCATAAGAATCCATGCCATCTTTTAAGGTTAAAGTATATTACATAAATAAGGACACAACAGAAAGGAACTGGGGAAAAAATTAAGTGAAATATAAAAAAACCACTACCAATTGAAAAAAAAAAACATACTAAAAACTTGATTCTTTATCACAGTGGGATCAATTCTGCTACTTTTACTTACTCTGCAAGTAGAAAATTGCAGTTAAGTAGTACTTACTCAGCATGAGCAAGGGAGGCAGAATTGGCCCCAAATAATTATGAGAAGTGTCCTTTTACTTAAAAACAGGGAAAAAAAAGGAAGAAAAAGACAGAGTTTAGCTTTTTTTTTTCCATAAATAACAAAGCAGATGTGCCCCTTTTTAGGTGAAATTCTTACACCTTTCTCAAGAAATGCATCAATTTAACTGTTCTCTCTGTTTCTCGCATGCATACACACACTCCGTCCCCGACTCTGTGTTGCAGCCAATCTGCTGCTGCTGCCCCTGACCCCAGGGAGGGTGAGGGAAGAGGAATGAAACCCCAAGGCTGCGTTTGGCTCTATATTGCTTGAGATTGTCCGAGATGGACTACGATGCTTAGAACAGAAGGGGTGTCGGGTTCAGCTGTGAACACCGATGTATCTTAGGATTCAGCATACCTCCAGGAAGAGGGAAAACAAAAAGAAAGGATAAAATCATGTTGATCTGCAATTGCAATACTCCTTTGCATGGACCAGAGCTGAAATCAGACAGGACTGTAACGTGGTGACTGAGCTGCTGCTTCATTTAAGATGTGCAGCCCAGGCAACTGTGCTGAGGAATCTGGATAAACATTTTCTTTGGGGCAGCATCGAACCTAAAACCTGGGATTGTCCTCTGCATTCAGCCCACACACTCGGAAACATTTGCTCCTTCCTGCGGAGCCTCAGGGACCCACTGGATTCCAGCCAGGAACCCAATATCCCACCCTGAACAACGAGCTTTCCTGGGGCAAACCTGTGCAAAACAAGCAAAGGGGCATTTTATCATGAAACTCTTCACATTCAGCATTTCCCCACAGCACCCACAGGAAGTGACTGGGGGACATTCTATAATTACATATTTTTAAAAAAATAAATCTCCTCCTGACTTATTGCCTACCAAAGTAAACCCTTTTGCTCCCAGTTTCTCTTTGAAGCCGCATTCCTACCTGTCCCACAGCCCCCTCGCAGGGAGCTGGGGTGTGAGGGTTCCCTTTTTGGAGTGCCCAGCTCCGAGCTGCACCCGCCCCGGGGCACCCAAATTGATGCCACAGGCTGGGTGGGACATAAAGGCAATGTCTGGAGCGAGGGGGATCCCCACTCCCTGGCAGCTCCTGCAAAGCTGGAAAGCCTCTGGCTTTCCTGGTAGCACTGTCTGCCTCCCCCCACACAGTGCCCAGGCATTGCTTTGCTCCTGCCCCACTTCCCTGTCAGCATCCAAAACAGTCACAGGCTGCTGAGGGAGCTCTCACCTGCCCCTGTGCCCGAGCTCACCTTCCTGCCCCTGTGCAGACTCGAGCACTGTGAGTTAAAGACACCTTTATAGTAAAAAGAACCCCCCCCTCCCCCCCCCCCCAAAAAAAAAAATGAAGTGGAAACTTATTTTTTACCACAAACCCTGCATGAGGGACTCTAAACCCAGAAGAGCTGCTCTCTCCACTCTCACCCAATCCTAAAATTTGGAGGAAGCCACTGGGGCAGGCAGCACATGTCCCCAGGACAGGCAGCACACAGCCCATTCGGCTCTAAGCATAGTGCATAAGATCTGGAAAAGATTTCTAGGGGAGGAGGGAAAACAAGCCATCCCAATTTAATGGAAAAAAAAAAAAAAAGTAAAAACCCAAAGAAAAGAAAACCCAACCCCACTTATAGGCTTCAGGCACCTCGAAGACCACTTATTGCATCTCTTCCTACCCTATGGCTGCAGTACTGATCAGCTCTGCGCAGGACCAGCCCTCCCCTTCCCAAGCACTGCTCTCAGGATCCAGCAGCTGGGCACAGGCAGGGGCTGTGGGCCAACCTGGGGTGTCCAGCTGCAGGAAAACAATGTGAAATTTTTTATCTGGATACACCAAAACCAGTGCTTGGGAAGCGACTGAGTGATCCTCCAGGAGTGGGCTGGAGCCCCCACCCCAGCTCTGCACTAACCCTTCCCCTCCACCACGCTTGATGCATCCCCAGCAGGGCCCAGCCATGGGTGCCCCTGGCTGAGTGGGAGATGGAAGAATTCCACTTACTTAGCTATTTTGTTTTTGTTTTTGTTTTTTTTTTGTTGGGGTTTTTTTTTTGATTGATCGTTTTCTGAA